GACCCAGGTGTGTCACCCGAGGGCGCTGACCTCGTACGAGAGGGAGAGGGTCGGCTTTGCTTGGGAAACACGCCGAAGTCCACGTCCGACTGTTTTGTGGAACCTGCCCAGGCTCAGCGAAGCGCGACCGAACTCCCGTTAAGCTAGCACGTTCTGGGGAAGGTGCTGCAAACGCAGGTCCAGATTGGGGAGGGGACGGACCGGCCCCCCTTTCCGCTGACCCGGGGGCTCCGGGGAACAGCTGAAGGGCTCCCTGAGCGGAGTGGGCTGCTGGAGGGGGGTGGGGGGAGGAAGAGGGAGGCTCGGGGTGTTCTAAACGCCTGAGTTCCGAACTCCCGTTAAGCTAGCACGTTCTGGGGAAGGTGCTGCAAACGCAGGTCCAGATTGGGGAGGGGACGGACCGGCCCCCCTTTCCGCTGACCCGGGGGCTCCGGGGAACAGCTGAAGGGCTCCCTGAGCGGAGTGGGCTGCTGGAGGGGGGTGGGGGGAGGAAGAGGGAGGCTCGGGGTGTTCTAAACGCCTGAGTTCTCCTTGGCCTTCCTGGGTCTGCTTTCACTTTCCTCCGTCTCCTGGACAGTTGCATGTAGGTTTTCAACGTGCGCATGAATGCACAATAGTAACGTAGATGAAAGGACAGCCACAGTGTTATGTCCAGAGGTTCATCTGGACAAATAAATAAAGCCCCTTGCCTTCCCCCAGTGAAAGCGGGCACTAGGCACCCTTTCTTTATGTCGGGCACTGCGTCTATATTATGTAATTAACTATGGCCCGTCATGACCATATCGTTATAAGGGAGAAAACAAGACCTTTAGTGTCCACAGCTAATAAATTCATGGTGTTAATTTAAATCTCTCCCAACAACGCAATGTTAACAACCCACCCCTCTTCAGTCCCATCTTGGCTATCGCGTGAGCCAACTATACACTCTGTTCAGTGTCCCTATAATCACACTCGTTAACTTATTCACACTTTGTGGACATTTTTGTACCTCTGATAAAGTTCTCTAAAATATTTCCCCCAAATACTGAAAGGCAAACAAAAACAAACAAAAACCCTTGAAGTGCAAAATGCTTAGATTGGACATTTATTGTAGCAGAACAGTAATATAACAATATAGGACAAAGGGTTAAACTTTGCAGTGTATGCTTTGGGGCAATGTTAAAACAAAAACTACAAGAAAAACGTGTTGAATCAGGGTAAAATTTAAAAACTTTAAAATTGCAATTGAACAGTTCCTCCTACTACATTAATATTATTGCTTAAGGTAAATACAAAACAAAGACCTCAAGCTTACATAAGCTTTATTAACAGTTATGTCCCTAAGTTTGCAGGAAGGTAATAAAAATATATAGTAGAAAAAAAGTACTTTGATTTATAGTTTACAAAACCATTTTACTGTCATGTGCCCCAGAAAAATTGTAAGTTCCATTTCAAGATCATAAAATACATTCACTTTGCCCATAGTTAACAGCTACCAAACCACCAGCAGCACCCTGGCAGCCACACCGGCCTTCACAGATGCCCAGGAGAACCAGTGGTGCCTGAAGAGGCCCTTTCTGCACGCAGAAGCTCGATTTCCTCCAATCCCAGGCAGCTGGTCGGGTGGGTGGTTACGGACTGGACAAAACAATTTAGCCACCCCACCTCCTTTCCGATGACGCTGTTCACTTCATAACCCTGCAGGGATAAAAGGCATGCTGGTTACAGCAAATAGCCTTGCATGTTTTGCTCCCAAGAACACAGAACACAGAACACGACTTCAAATAGTTGAGAACAACATTGGTAAGAAGGAAAAAAGAAAAAAAAGGGCAGTGATTTATTATGCCAAGTGAAGGAACGAATTTTTTTCTGAAAACTGAATCGTGTTTTTACACAAGAACATTTAAAATGTTACTGATGTTTGTTCGTGGATGCAACGATAAGCCTCTCCCAGCTGGCTGCCCTGGGAGAGGAGCCGAGGACTTGCACAGGGACAAGCCCTGTTTATTAGCTGCGAATGCTGGGCTGGGGCTGGGGCTGGGCGCAGGGCTGGGCGCGCATCGTGCAGCTGCCTCCCACTTCCTTTGGGACACTTCCCCAATCTAGCAACACTTCTGGTCAAAGGATTCTCTGGTATTTTGCCCCTAAACTTCCCTCTTCAATGGGATACTATTTCTTCTAGACTCACACCGAGTGTTGTCAGAAGCTTTTTATCCAGGTTCTGTTTGATAAACATCTTATGGTGGTCAGTTAATCTTGGCCAAGTTTCATCTCTTGATGAAAACACAGACTAGGAAGGTGTGGTATGCTCTCATTAGTCTCTCTAGATCAAGCATGTCAAACTCAGAGGCTAACGCGGGCCAAATAAACAAGGCATGCGGCCTGCGAGTTTAACATGCTTGCTCTAGATCAAACCTCAGAACATTTCTCTCTGGGGCCGAGGTGGGCTAAATACATTGGGATACACGCGTCTCTGGCCTTGGAGACGGAAGCCCTAGGAGTAGCGTGTTCTTTCAGAGGCTCCTTTGCTGCCACCTGCAGAGTAACATCAGGAGTATCTCTCACTTCTCTGAGCCAGACCCTTGACAGATCCCTACAATGGCTTTGCTCAGCATGTTTTACAAAGTAGGCACATGTCTGTGTTTCTCGGTGCCCTCCCATCGAAGGTGAGCATCACTGCCCTCACTGGCTCTAAGCTGGGCTCAGGGACGCTTTTCTGGAACAGAGAGCAGTGGACAGGGCACTGAGTTTGTCCCAAGCGTGGCCAGGAAAGGTGCCCGGCGCTTTCTGCCCGCCTCTCTTGGGACCCAGACACGTGCTGTGTGGGTATCTGGCCAGAGCCCGCGCAGGTCCCAGCCAATTGGAGCACAAAAGCCAGCGGGGGACCGAAGGCCTTCTGGGGCTCCAGCCCAGCCTCTGGCCACCAGCTGACGCCCACTGGAGCGAGATGAGCTGTCCTGGCAGAACCCCGTCCTGCCCACAGGCCTGTGCACAGGTAAGTGTGGAGGCCACTGAGCTGTGAGATGGTTTGTTGTGAAGCAGGAAATATCAGGATCAGTCTGGGTGTGATCCCTTCCTTCTGCTAGGAGGCGGGCATGGTGGCAATGCCTAACATACTAGTGCGATCTGTAAAGAGTTTTCATTGCTCAGTAAAAGTTCGAGTAAGGTCAACAGAGTGGTCGAATGGAGTGACGGGGGAGGGAGAGTGCTGGGAAGTGATGGAGCTAAAATATCTGACAACAATGGTGGCAAAGGTCTGTCTGCACTTGGGATCATATGTGACACAGACGTCAACTTGAAGTCCATCCCTGGTCACTCATTGAGGGCCACTGCGAGGCCACGAAGGGCCTGCCACCGAGATGGCAGTGACCGGGAGCGGCCAGGCTGCCAGTCCGGACAGGGAGCACAGGGTGTGCAGAGGCCGCCACCACCCCGGGCTGGGCAGGGAGACGACAGCAGCCACTTCTCTGTTGGCCATTTAATCGCCTTGCATGTGTGTGTGTGTGTGTGTGTGACACAGACGCCCAGGCATCCCTCCACTTTTACTTGGGGTGAAAGTACGGAATTCTGACTTGAAAAAAGTCAGCAAAAAATCACTTTAAAAAATGACAGGTTTGGCAGCTACCGTCTTCAATAACAACTATAATTTATAAACAAAGATTAAATTACACATACTTTATATTTGCTGGCAATTAATACAGGTAGGTAAAAATCACACACACCAACAAATGCATCTGTACTCTCATATAAATATATATGTGCGTATGTGTAAAATGTGTCTCTATTTTTAAAAGGTACAATATATTTTCCTTTAACTTTTCTTTTTCTGAAAGCTAAGGAAACGAAGTCCGAGTTTCATGTCACTGCAGTGTTACAGTGAATGCACTGACATGTACAAGGACAGCAATCCCATTGCTCTCACTCCTGTAGCTGGACCCCATTAAAGCGAAGGCGGAACACGTACACTCATGTATCCTACCCAGAGGCAGTGCCTTCATTCCAGGGCATGGAGTTATGGTTCCATAGAAAGTCCTATGTGATTCTCTGGATTTTGGCAAATGTGCATTCACACAGAAAACAGATAGAATCCAGACTGGAAAACGCATGGCTGATGTCTACACGTAAGTCCTTTTTTTAAAAAAAAATTTAAAAAATCCTCACCTGAGGATATATTTATTGATTTTAGAGAAATAGGAAGAGGGAGAGAGAAGGAGGGAGGGAGAAGGGGGGGATGGGAGAGAGAGAGAGACACCTGTTGCCTCCCATAAGCCCCCTGACTGGGGATCAAACCTGCAAGCTAGGTGTGTGCCCTGACCAGGAATCGGATGCTCCAACCACCTGAGCCACACCAGCCAGGCACACACACAGTCCTTTTTATCACCCATCCTCCAGCTGCTTTCCGGGTCAGATGTAAAGCGCTGATCCCCCTGTGAGTAGCGCTGGGGGTAGGGGCGAGGAGTTCACTGAAATGCCCCTCAGGCTTGGCATTTGCCTTATTTCCTGGTGTCAGCTCTGAGAGTACCTGCAACGTTGGCACCTGAAGCTATCACAACAGGCGCCCCTCATCCAATGCACACACTCTAGCACACACATGTACACGAGCACACACAGCTGTACGAGACAAACACACGAACACTCAAGTACACACACATGCTCTTTTGAGCTCTTTTGGGATTTTACATAAGAGAGCACTGCAATTGTGGAGTTTGATGTGTGGGAGGTACCATCAGAAGGAAATCAATGGAGAAGAGCATTCCTACAGGCCTCCCCTGTTCCCCGCTCCTGCGGAGAGTGGCCGTCCATCCCTGGAGGCCGCCTGGAGGAGGCAGGCCACTGGGTGGGGAGCCGCAGGACCGAGTGGGAGGCAGGCCTCGCGGAGGCCGCCTGGAGAATGCAGGCGAACCTGGGCCTGTCCGGGTGGAACAGCAGGTGAGCTGTGCAGCACTCCCAAGTGCTGCTGGTTTGGTTTGTTTAGGTTGTGGGTTTGGTTCATTTTCCCGTGTGTTCTCCTTAAGCAGGAGTGTTACCAACACTTCCCCCAACCCTCTCCACTTCCCTGATAACCCAGCTCTGTTCTCTTTGGCGCCCACTGAAAGCCCCGCCTTAGAAACCTCCCATCCCTGGCCCAGGACTACGCCCTTCTCTCTTCCTCTCTTCTCTCCCCCAAGCGCTGATGGATGAGGCAACGAGGTGCTGCTAACTCATCACCCATTAAACACAGACTTCACTAAGAACAGACACACACAGATGAGCCCATTTCCCCGACCCCACTCCCCAGTCTGGGCTGGTGACTGCCTCAGCTAAGTGGTCACTTGTGAGGCTAGCGAGGCCTCTCTGCACCAGACAAAACAGTGGCTGTGAGCCCTGCAACCCTTTGCTTCCCTTGCAGTCAAGTGTGGAGCCTGCCCTGCCCCCTGGGTGGTTAGGGAGATGAAATAGGCAACGTGAGAAAAGCAACAGCGTTCCTGGGCCACTGTAATTACTTACTTACACTCTACTTTGAAACGACCAGGGAATACTTGTTTATAAGCCCTCCTGCAGCCTGGTCTAAACACCAACCCCTACTGGCACTGCAACCCCTTGTTTAGCACAGGGGTAAGGGGGGGCGGTGAGGGGGTGTCACCGAGTTGTTTTAAAGAGACAGGCCCAGGCTGGTGGGCTTATCCTGGGGAGGGAGCCAGAAACCCTTTTACAGCTCCACAGGCGACTCTACCCTGAAATCCGCGCGGGAACGGTAGTCAGACCAGTGATTCTTTAAGGTTCTGTTTGGGACTGATCCACATTCCAATGTAATCCAAACTCAGAGTTTGGATGCAAGAACGTGACGCTGCTCCGCCTCCTGGTGCCGCCCGCCCCTCTGAGGGCAGGAGGGGGGGCAGCAGGTGGCGGGCCGAGGGCAGCCTCCACGGGATGGACCAAATCAGCCTGATTCTGCTGGAATCAGAGCTGGAGTTTGGCCGGGAGAGCCCGTCATGAAGTTCTGCACGATCGGTCTCCTGGCCCCGTAACCTCCTGAGCTGGCCGTCGGCTCCTCGATGTGGACCCTGGCCCTGGCCAGGGGCTGTGCCCGGCACCACTCAGTGGTCAGCCCGGTGCCCTCCTCTGGGCTCAGCAACTCCCTGGCCACTGCGGTGCTTGTCCATGGCTGCGGCCAGAGGAGGCGCCTCCAGGACAGCCTCCTTGTGTGAGGCCGCTCTCGGGAAGAAGGGAACTCTTGGGCCCTAAGGTATATTCAGGTGGTGGTTTTCTCGGAGGAGCAGCACTTTGCTAAGTCACACTGTAGTGCCTCTCAGAACTAATGCTCGTTACCAAATACTCAAACGGGACACAAAGGTGTGTATCTCAGTCAATCCTGTTCTCTTAATGTGAAACCATGGCAGTGGGACTTGAAATCTCAATCCTGTTCTATCATCCAAGGCCTGGGGGTCAGATTCATGACTGTACTGTAAGGCTGAGCAGGAATAACCCCGATCCCAGAAAGGAAAGACCTGTTAGCAGACGTGGGCATCTGCCGGCGATGAGAGCCGTCTGAGGGCCCGGCCGAGGTGCAGTCTCGCATTCAGCACGTGCAGGTATGCTGCGGGGCTGCCGGAGCGGGAAGCACATGGGCACGGGGTCTTTATCTGGGGGAGATCTGCTAGCTGGGGGCTTCGAGCACAGAACACACATCCGGGCACTTACCCCGTCCTCACCGGCAGCGAACCTCAGGAGCGAGGAGATACTGTTCTGCATCAGCTGCAACGACAGTCACATGGCTGGGTTAGGGCTCCCGGCTGCGAGAGCGCTGGTGCTGACACTCATGCCTGGAGACGAACATGTTAGACAGGAACCACTGCCTTCTCTTAGTAGCTACGATCTCAAAGCCTTAAGTCAAACGTGGCTTGTCAGGCCACAGACATGGAAAGACTGTGTTCCCGAGGGTGAGTCCTTCGCCTTTTCCCAGGGAAAGAGCAATGGATGCGAGTCTGCCCCAGGGCGGGAGCCAGAGCAGCTCTGCGAGGGACGGAGGGCGCACGCTCCTACCTTGACCCTCACTGTGCACTGGGGCCGCGCAGGGCAGGCCAGGAAGACCTGCAGGTGCCGTCGGAGGACAGGAGAGGTGACCACGCGGGAGCAGTCCGCACAGGAAAAGGCGCCTCTGTCACTGGGAAGCACACAGGGAAGACAGGGCCAGAACACAAGCGGATGAGCGTCTAGCAGTGGACAGGCATTTTCCTGGACAGGAATGAGTGCTGAGATAGCAGGGGATTTACTTTCCAAAACCAAGTTCCTGAAATAGGCCGCAGCAGCCGGGCTCGGCCTGTGCTGAGGGACAAAGGTCAGCTTCCCCCTCTGGCTGATGCGTGTGGGCATGAACCAGGGCAGGGCACTCAGCAGGATGCCTCATCCAGCTGATCCAGCTGAGCATGAGGACAGCAAACATCCCGTGAGCAAAGGGAAGCCCTGTGCCTGGTGAGAGGAAGGCAGGCCTCCTCTCCGCTGGACGGGAAACCTGCTTTCAGTCGTCAGCATCTACGTGCCTTCCTGCTGCCAAGTCCACCTGTGGTTCCCACTCTACTCGTCTCTTAGGCACGATCCAGCAACCACTTGTTCACACACGATGCCATCCAGCCAGGAGGTGCCAAGGAGACATCTGCCCTGGGCTTCTTACGAAGACGGAAAGTAAGGAGCCCCTTTCTATCTGTCATGTGACGGAGTCCACATGGGAGGCCAGAGAACTGACTGGAGAAAGACCCTCCTGAGGAGGTGGAGAGGGTGCTGGGCCCCTGCGGGCACAGCCGGGCACCTGTCCCTTGGTCTCTGGGAAGCCTGTGCCCCACGGAGGACAAGCTGTCAGTCACCAGGTTAGTCTTCTTTATTCATGTGAACCCTGGCTTTCGCTTTTCCCCTAATAACAAACCAACTGAGGACAAACCTGGCTTCTCTTTTACAAAATACGAGCTGCAGGAACATGGAGAAAACCCCCACGTGAGGAGAAGACCGTGTCCGCAGCCTCTGCCTTGCAGCGCAGCAGACGGGCCTTGCTGCAGAGCTCCTGCCCGGCCCTGGGCCCTGGGGGGGAGCTGCCCCCTGGCTTTCGCTTTTCCCCTAATAACAAACCAACTGAGGACAAACCTGGCTTCTCTTTTACAAAATACGAGCTGCAGGAACATGGAGAAAACCCCCACGTGAGGAGAAGACCGTGTCCGCAGCCTCTGCCTTGCAGCGCAGCAGACGGGCCTTGCTGCAGAGCTCCTGCCCGGCCCTGGGCCCTGGGGGGGAGCTGCCCGGGGCAGGGAGGCAGGAGGGGTCCTGGGCCTGGGCCGCAGCACCCCGGGGTCTTTCAGGCCAGTCGCTGCCCCTTACCTGTCTTCTGGGCTCTGTTCCAATCTCTCGCTGCCACACCGGTCACACACAGGCCAGGAGAAGGCCGTGCTCTCGTCCACAGCGACCACAGTGCCTAGGCCGAGGGAGAGCAGGGCCAGCTCAGGGTCTGCCCTCCAGCCTCTCTGTGCTCCTCAGGACGCAGAGGGTAACCAAGGGCCTCGGATTTTTCTCTCACTCGTGAGTTTATATAAATGTTCCTGAGATTTTTATAATGTCCATGTATCCGACAGCATTATAACAGTAAAAGGTAAGATTTAAAACCTGCCCACATTATTACCTAATCAAGTGTTTTCATTTGTGCCCGATCTCTCTGGTCTTTCTCCAGATGCACACGTGTTGGAGTCATTACAAGCACATCATCGGTGCCATGTCCCACCCTCCTTTTAGGCGGCTAAGGAACTATGAAGAATTGTTTTATCTGTCTCACTGATACCCATCTAGGTGATGTGTCATAGTTCCCCCAGCCACTCTCCAATTGGACATCTGGGTCTCCAATTCCCTTGGCGGTTACGCAGTGGGTGTCTTCCTGCTGAGGCCCTTTCTGTGCCGACACCCCTTCCCTAGGATGGATTCCTGGAAGCAGAGCTACTGTGAGCAGCAGCCATAGAAACGCCTCTAGAAGGTGCTTCCCACAAGGTCTCTGACCCCGTCCCCTCCCCTCGCAGAGCGCGGTCTCATGGCACCGAGTGTGGAAACCACTTTCAGTGTTTGCCTCCTGAACAGCACAACGGAATTCCTTATCTTGGTTTCCACTCCTCTGATAAGGAAAAATAAATATTCTATGGGTTTGTTAGTATCTCTTATTCAGTGATTTCTCTGGCTTCCTATTTCTTTTTACTCCCACATTTGTGATTTATTTTTTTCAACAAACATGTATACAATGCTCTTTAGTGTGGGATACATGTGTAGCACTAAAAACATAAAGATGCTGCAATCCAGATAAACAAATAATGAGTAAAAATACCACAAAATATGGGAGAAAATGTTTGCAAAGGACATATCTGATAAAGGACTAATATCCACAATCTATAATAATAAAAGCACAATATGCAAATTGACTGAACAGCCGAACAGCAGAATGACTGTCTGGGACCACGCTATGACACCCATGGGTGCCAGGCCAGCCAAGGCAGGTGTGATGTGATGTGATTAGTCGGGGGCTCGGCCATCACCCCATGATTGCCCCGCAGAGGGAGGCCCAGGTCACTGGCTGGCGTGGTGATAAATTTGGGGGGCTCCACGATCGCCCCAAAGAGGGAGGCCCAGGCTACCCCGCGGCAGTGCTGGGGCCTCCCTCTGCAGGGGTGATCCATCGTGGGGCTCTCAGACTGTGAGAGGGCGCAGGCCGGGCTGAGGCCTCCCCTCCCCCCAGTGCAGGAATTTCATGCACCGGGCCTCTAGTATAAAATAAACTTTTAAAACTCAAGAGTAAGAACACAAACACCTGATTAAGAAATGGGTCAAAGACCTTAACAGACATCTCACCAAAGGAGATATACTGATGACAAATAAGCACATGAAAAGATGTCTAATATATCATCAGAGAAATGCAATTAAAGCAATTAAATGCCAAACTGCACCCCTATTAGAATGGCCCAAGTCCAGAACATGACACCACCAGAAGCCAGTGAGGACGGGGAGCAACAGAAACCCTCTCTCACCACCAGGGGAATGCGAAACGGTGCAGCGACTGTGGAAGGTAGTTTGGTGGTTTCTGATAAAACTAAACACACTCTTACCACACAATCCAGCAATCAGACTCCTTGGTATTTACCCAAAGGAGCTGAAAGCTCAGTCCACGCAAGCACCTGAATACAGATGTTTGCAGCAGTTTTGGTCACAACTGGCAAAACTGGGAAGCAACGGTGATGTCCTTCAGGAGGCGAATGGATAGACAAACTGTGGCCCATCCAGACAACGGAATATTATTCATGCTAAAAACAAGCGATGAAGCCATGCAAAGACATGGAGGAAACATAAATGCATATTGCTTGGTTGAAGAAGACAGTTTTAAAAAGCTAATGATTCCAACTACACATAGACATTCTGGAAAAAGCAAAACGATACAACCAGTAAGAGGATCAGTGGCTGCCAAGTGTCACTGGGGCGGGAGAAATGAACAGGTGGAGTGGAGAGGATTTTTACACCAGTGAAGCTATTCCGCGGGATACTGTACTGATGGACACATGTCATACAGTTGTCTAAGCCCAAATAAAGGACAATACCAACAGTGACCTTAACATAAACTATGGCCTTTGGGCGACTAGGATGTGTCCAACTGTAACACATGTACCATGCTGATGGGGGATGCTGACAGTGGCAGAGACTGTGTGTGTGTGTGTGTGTGTGTGTGTGAGGCGGGAGGCGCAGGTAGAATAAGGGAATCTTTGTACCTCCTGCTTAATTTTGCGGTACACCTAACACTACCATAAAATAAATGCTAAATTAAGAAATGGCCCTAACTGGTTTGGCTCAGTGGATAGAGCATCAGCCTGCGGACTCAAGGGTCCCAGGTTCGATTCCGGTCAAGGGCATGTACCTTGGTTGCGGGCACATCCCCAGTAGGGAGTGTGCAGGAGACAGCTGATTGATGTTTCTCTCTCATCGATGTTTCTAACTCTCTATCCCTCTCCCTTCCTCTCTGTAAAAAAATCAATAAAATATATTTTAAAAAAAAGAAATGGAACAGACCCTTCAGAGGTGCAGAAGAGAGGCCCATTAGGCGGGCTTGAGGGTCAGGGAAGGCTTCATAAAAGAAGGGAACTGAGATAGGATTGCAGGTTGGGGTGGGGCACAGGCCACACTGCTTCCTGGGGCGAGGCTTGAGGCCAAACAGGCATAAAGGAAAGGCAGGTAAAGTGGCTGTAGAGTTAACAGACTATGATTACTCAGGGTCTTGCTGAGGATTTTATTTTTTAAAAATATATTTTTACTAATATCAGAAAGAAAAAGAGAGGGAGAGAGAGAGATAGAAACATCAATGATGAGGGAGAATCATCGATTGGCTGCCTCCTGCATGCCCCGCATTGGGGACCAAGAATTGAACCGGGACATCCTAGTTCATAGGTCGACACTCAATCACTGAGCCACGCTGGCCGGGCTTGCTGGGGCTTTTAGACTTGACTGTGGAAGGATGAGAAGCCATTAAGAAATTTTAGACAGAGATTGAGATGGTCCAATTTTCCTGGAGTGTGAAGCATTGCAGATATTCTGTTAAGTCACAGACCATCCTGTAGAAAGTGAAATGAGACGTTTGAATAACAGTAAGACGGGACCTGCATTTCCAGTCATCCTTCCCACCCTCTGTGGTGCGGAAGAATTGCATTCCCACTAGAACAAGCATTAGAAGAAAATTTATCTGTAGAGGACAAAACAGATTTATGAGAACTAAGTAGGTTTGATTTATTAAAATACACTCATGTGATACATACTTGAATGACTTTCTAAAAATGAAAATAACACATCTTGATTTTGAAAAGGCTGCCCCTCTAATTTCATTGTCCTTGCAAATCTAATGACTATCAAGTTAAAGGGATAGGAATCATAGTCAATAAGAGCTTATAACATAGCCAGAAAGGAGTGTTGACTAATTCGAAATAGGCAAAGGTGTAAGGCAAAGGGAGTGGCTCCCTCCCCAGGCCCCGTGCCCAGCAGAGAGCCTGGCTCACAGCAGTAGTTGGTGTCTGCTAAATGGATTAATAAAAAGGAGACTGCTACCAATCAAAGTTCCTTGTGATCCTAGGATACCTTTGGGTGTTAATAGCATTTACATTTATATGGAATTAAGTTACTTCCATCCAATTAGGACACGAGTTGAGGAAACGTTATTTCATTTGGGATCTATACACCCTTGGAAATCCCTTCTGCAGACATAAGTGAATTCCAAGGGATGCCTGGGAAGTGTATTAACCTGTTAGTATCTAGAACATTCACTTAAGCGAGCATCAGAAAAAAAACAATTTTTGTTCGAGTTTGATAAGTGTGACGCCACACTCATCACTTAACTACAATTTGCTATTAAAAGCCTTTACTGTCCTTATCTTGTTTACAGAACTCTCTTATAATTAGGTTTGGGAAAGGCATATCACATATTCATTAAAACATCTTTTTTTAAAGGTCCTTTAAAAAGGTCCTATTGGAAGTGCTTCAACCCTTTTTTCCTTTCGGGGCACACAACAGCTACGTGCTCTGGACAGTCTGGGTTTTCCTGGCACTGTCAGCCTGGTTTAAAATGTTCTTCAGATACTTTGAACTCTCTGCCACACTACTCCCACCTTTCTGACAGAAAGAAGTTGGGGCTCAGACATTTTTCTTCTAGTCAGAGGCCAAGGCCAAGACTTTGCCACCACTTTCCAAGGAGACACAGAGCGTGCTTGCTGCATCCATTGCGACCATGGCAAGTAAGAGCATTATACACGAACCAGCAATGAATGTATACAGAAGTGGTGAGCAATAAAGAAGAGAAAATCAATGATGCAAAACTTTTTCACCCCAGAAAATAAACTGGAAGGAAGTGCCTGCATACGCTGGGAATTGGTGTTTGGGGAGTGATGAGAAGGCCTGGTGACCCAAGTGAAGTGAGGTGGAGTGGAGTGAAGAGGAGAGGAGTGAAGAGGAGAGGAGTGAAGAGTGGAGTGGAGAGAATTGTACAGTTAAGAATTTACAACAAGATCATCTTCTATGGTTACTTTCGATACATTCGATTTATTATATAACACTGATATGTTTCTATTCATACCACTTGTCAAAAAATATATCATCATCATAATAAAAATACCATTTATTGATTTTCATCTTTGAGAATCAATCTGTAGACCAAGTGTGCAAGGCTTAATTATGATTATGGAATAAATTATCATGCAACAATATACAGAAACAGCTGTATGGTGGTGGTACAAAGACAGCAGTAAAAGCAGGGCCAGAGAGCTAATATTCACTTCCTACAAAGCAAGGAATAAAGAGATACCATGTTTAACTGATAAAACAAGAAGCAAACAAATTTACAAAATCCTTACAGCTCACATCATAGTTAATGGTGAGAAAGTAGATACTTTCTATTTAAGATTAGGAAGAGAGCAAGAAAGTCCCCTACCACTACTTATATTAAAAACAGTACTGGAAGTACTAGCTAATACAGTAAGATAAAAAATAAAAAAAAGGAAATAAAAGGTATAAAGATTGGAAAGGAAGAATAAACTGTCCTTCTGTCCTGGTGACATAGTTTTCTATGTTAACTATCCCAAAGAATCAAACAACAAAAAACTAAAACTACAAAATAATTTTAGTATGATTGTAGGATACAAGGTTAAAATACAAAAGTGAATTGCTTTCCTATATATTAGCAATGAACAAATGGAATTTGAAATAAAAAACACACCACCATTTACATTAATGCTAAAATAAAGAAGATACTTAGGTAAAACTATAACAAAATATCTACATGATCCAGATGTGAAAAACTACAGAACTATCATAAAAGAACTTAGAGATCTAAAATTAATAGGTAGATATTCCATGCTCAGATTCAAGACCATCCCACTTAAAATCCCAGCAAGTTATTTTGTAGATATCAACAAACTGATTTTAAGTTCATATGGAGGGCAAGAAACCTAGAATCGCCACGTTCCACTTCACTGAAGAGCGCTACCATTGCCGGTTGGTCACCTAAGCCAGAATCTTAGGGGTCATCACACACGTTCTCTCCTCCGCATACGCCTTGCTCCCTCTGTCCCAAATTCATTACCCGGCCTGCCAATCCCTCGTAACGAAATCTACTCCTGGATTCACTCACTCTTTAGACCAGCCGTGGGCAAACTACGGCCCGCGGGCCATATCCGGCCCGTTTGAAATGAAAAAAAGCATATCCTTGGGTGAGGATTTTTAAAAGAAGGAAGCTAGAAAGGAATAAGGTTGAGTCAGGCACATATTGAAGTATTTCCTTAGCTAACATTTTAAAATATCCCTTGGTCATGTGGGAGCTAGTTCTTAACTACCTAGACCAGGAATACAAATTCCTATAGAAAATCTGCCTTTTCAAAATAAGATAGATTTACAAAAATTGTCTCACCTCTTTCTCTCCATCATTGCTTGCTTTTTCTATTTTTCTCTCCAATTCCCATCCCCTAACTCTCCCAGGTTCTTATTGCCAACAATGGCATTGCAGCAGTGAAATGCATGCGGTCTATCCGTCGGTGGTCCTACGAGATGTTTCGAAATGAACGTGCAATCCGATTTGTTGTCATGGTCACACCTGAAGACCTTAAAGCCAATGCAGGTGAGTTATTTGCATTAAGAAAGCATCACTCTAGAGCAGCCGTGGGCAAGGATCCGGCCCTTTTGAAATGAATAAAACTAAAAAAAAAAAGACCGTACCCTTTTATGTAATGATGTTTACTTTGAATTTATATTAGTTCACACAAACACTCCATCCATGCTTTTGTTCCGGCCCTCCGGTCCAGTTTAAGAACCCACTGTGGCCCTCGAGTCAAAAAGTTTGCCCACCCCTGCTTTAGACGGTGCTCGTCCTCCTACTGGCGGCTGCCCCAGGCCCAGCCCCTCCACTCCGCTCTGCAGAGATGGGAACTGGACCAGGCTGTCTCTCTGGGAGGTCCTGACAGCGAGCCCACTGGCCTGCACAAGCCGGCCCTCTTACTTTCTCTCAGGTCACTCCCTCTATGCAGGTGCCTTTTGGCCTCCTTCCAGACTCCGGGGCTTACCTACTCTATCCTTCCAGCAGCCTCTGTAAGCCTGCTTTCTCCCTACCAGCTATTCTTCCCGACCTCCCCGCTTCACCTCATGAGCTCCGTCCTGCCCTGGGAGACTCCAGTGACCGCCCTGACCAGGGGAGGTGGCGCGGAGCAGCCCTGGACCCCGGGGATGCCGAGGCGCGGTGTCTGGCGGTGTGCATATCTGACATGTCCTCCTACACAGACTACACACCGAGAAGCGGGAACCTCTTCTGATGTTGCTCCTGTGTATCCAACGTCTGGAACATGTCAGGTACTCAACAACTACTTGCTGACAAGAGTGATATTCAAGAAAATAGAAATACTGTTTCCATAAGACCCTACCCACCTTGAACGCTGCAGATGCAGTTGACCTGAGTGACGGAATCCAGGCCATCGAGCCTCACAGGGCCCGGCAGCTCACAGGAGCGAGTGCCCGAGGCCACATCCAGAACGGGCTTTGGAAGCGAGAGGACAGTGCGCTCACCACAGACAATCCGACCTGTCAGGAGAGACATTTCAGACGGAAGCACTGAAGGGAGAGGGAGCTCTGCCAGGAAAGGCGGTGTCCTTTGCTAGATACCTAGAGCCGCGTGGGACAGGGGGCACCGCTGCGGGATGACACACGCACTGTGCAGAAAGGAAGCCCCAAGCCGCCAGCGTGCTAAGCTGAAAAAACACACAAATACCACATTCATTTTCAACTCAAAAGGTGAATCTTATGGTATGAAAATTATACCTCAAGGAAATAAAGAAAAAAAAAATATATAGTTGAGGTAGGCTCCTACTTTGGTTCCTCGACGAAGTGTACATGTTTACAATTTGTAGCTTTTCATTTGTTTTAAAAAATGATGTCCCAGGCAATGGCTTAAGTGGCTCTTGCACCTGTAAGCTTGCCACCAACAGACAGTCCTAGAGTGACCACTGGCAGCTCTGACACCGTTTGCCCGTACTGCAAGGGGTTCTGGTTCTGTCCAGGCGGCCACGACATGGTCAGTGAGAGCCTGGGTGGCACCAGGGGCCTCTGCACTCCACACGCCTTGTCTGCGGAGGGCTTAGTGGTGGCCCCGCAGTGTCTGAGCAGGACCTGGAAGCCCAAAGCCAAGGTCTGGAATCTGCACTGCACCACTGGCTCACAGCCGTCAGGAAGAAAGCTCACCCTGGTCTCGGAGAGCGTCTCTGAAGAAGAAGCTGTGGGGGGCAGCCTTGGCGAGTTCTTCCAGGACCTCCTGGCCCAGCACACACGAGGAGGTCACGCAGACCGGCAGGGTTCTGGGGAAGCCAGAGTGATTTTCATCCTGCACTTGCAGGGTGACGTCGGTCACCGCCAGCCAGATCTCCCTTTGCTCCAGAAGAAGCAAACTGCTTAGCTACGAGACACAGTCAAGACTATGAACTTGATAGCTACTCTGACATCAAAGTAATTTTTAACGCAATGTTAGATGACTGTTCTTGACATGAACATCATTTATATTAACATTATTACATGTTTACATTAACATCACTTCAACATATTTAAAAACATCCAGGACTTGTCATGTTCTGGTCCATTGACATGGCTGTGCCCTGTGAGCCCCATTGACATGGCTGTGCCCTGTGAGCCCCAATTGTGCACCTGTAAAGGGCTCCTTCGCTCTGATCCCATCTGCCCTCTCCCGGCACCGCTCTACGTGTCCTCTGACCTGCTCAGGAAGAGCTCGTTGTGCTCTGCCTCCTGATCCCATGTTTGTACACCTATGATGCTAATGACCACACTGTCTTACATTCAGCACACACACATTCTCCTGTCCTGCTAGATGCACGTTTCCTAAGCAGGGATTAAGTGGAAGGGGGCAAAAAGGGAGAAATGGTGGACATCTATAATACCAACAACAATTAAAAAAAAGAATACTAAAAAAGGAGGGGGCAAATTTGGACACAGAGGGAAGGACCTGTGATGACACATAGGGTGAAGATGGCATGTGACCGGAGTGATGCATCTACAAGCCCAGGAAGGCCAAGGATTGCAGCAAAGAGCAGAAGCTGGCAGAGAAAAGGGAGGAATCTCCCCCAGAGCTGCCAGAGGAAACATGGCCCTGCTAAGCCTTCATTTCAGACTTCCAGCCTCCTGAGGCAGGACACAATACATTTCTATACATTACTATTTAATCCTCACCCAAAGGTATGTTTCTATTGATTTGAGAGAGAGAGAGAGAGAGAGAGAGAGAGAGAGAGAGAGAGAGAGAAAGAAAAACATCAATATGAGAGACAAACATTGAGAAACACTGATTGGTTGCCTCCTGTATGCGCCCAGACCAGGGATCGAACCCACAACCCAGGTATGTGCCCTTACCAGGAATCGAACCTACAACTCCTTGGTGCACGAGGTGATGCTCTAACCAAATGAGCCACCTGGCCAGGGCTTATTGGTTTAAATTTATGGGTTTTAGAGAGCTGAGAAAGGAGAGAGGGAGGGAGAGAAACACTGATTTGTTGATACACCTATGCATTCTTGATTCTTGTATGTGCCCTGACCAGGGATTGAACTCACAACCTTGGTGTATTGGGATGACACTCTAACCAACTGAGCTACCTCACCAGGGCCATTTCTGCTATTTTTAGCCATCTAGTTTTCGGCATTTTGCACATTAAGCCTAGGAAACTAATATCAATATATAGGAGTGAGCAAAAGTGGTTTATAGTTGTGAGTCCACGAAACACAGAGTTTATTCTTATATAATCATTTACTAATTATTGTATTATTTATTTGTATTATAACTGTAAACCTACTTTTACCCGTCCCTGTACACTGCATGTTTCTATGTATGTGACCATCATAAAGTAACAGAATTATAATGATGAGAACAGATTAGCGGTTGCCTGATGCCTGGGGATGGGGAACAGAATGGGTGGGGCTATAATAGGAACATTGATTGTGGTGGAGGTTATGCAAGGCTACACATGTGACAAAACAGCATGAAAGTACGCATACATGTACATACACATGTGCACACATGTATGACGGGTGAGATCTGAACCAGCTCTGTGGAGTGTGCCAGTGTCAGTTTCTTGGTTTTGATACTATACTGTGGTTACTGTGGGTATGGGATGATGGCATGAGGGTGCATAGGAAATCCTTATAAACTTCTCTGCAATCTATTGTGAATCTATAATTATTGTGAATCTAAACATTTTGAATATTCAAAACAGAAGTTAAATACAAAAGAATACCTTTCCCTTTCCTGAGTGAACCACTAGCACAGTGTTACTACAATGGAGTCTCTTCGGACAGCTCAGGTCCCCCGGTGACTCACTGTGCAAATGCTACGTCAGCTGTCACTGAGCATGTGTCGGCTTAGCCATATAGTGGGCCCAGGACTTAGCATTTCAATTCCTCTCCAGGGAAGTTGGTTTTGGTGATTCACTTTCCCACAAAAGCAAAAGACAGAAGCTTAGTGAACTGAGGAAGTTCAGTACTCGGTTGGGTTCTGAGTCTTTGACTGTTTCCCATGTACCAGCGATTCCTCGGTTCACACCCACTGCAAGGCCTGCTTGCAGGCAGGCTGTACGTGAGCCGATGGGAGCCTATTTCTTGGCAGAAAACTCAGAACAGGAGGGACCAGATGGCCTGCAGTGTGTCTCTCTCTGCTCTAGGGCTCCCAGTGGGTGGGTGGGTGAGAGCTGGCGATGGTGTGAGCATCTGACCCCGCTTTCTTTACCTTCCACTTCTGGTCTCAGCTGCAAGGCTGTGGGCAGACCTGCTCCATGGGCAGGAGCACATGGGGTAGCAGCCAGGAGACTGACGTTCCTGCCCCAGGACAGCATTCTGCCTGCAGCAACCAGCAGCTGCGCAGCGAGCCCCTGAGGCCACATCCCATCACCTGAACGCGCTCTGGAATAACAGGAATGCGCCAGGTGCCAGGTGAGCGCTGCAGACGCTGGGCAGAGGAGTGCACAGCCAGGTTCGGCTGCCTCAGACTCAGAAAGTCAGAGACATCAGGTGAGCAGGCCGTGTCCTCCCTGGAGGCCTGTGCCCGCCGCTGAGCCAGACGCAGGACGGCTCACCAGGAGCACTGCTGCGTGACTGATGCCAGCCGCCCTCTTACTCCTCAGGGGCACTGATTCACTGTCACATGACTGAAGGGTGGACAGAGCGAGAAAAGCAATGGGATGCTCTCTACCTCTCAGGGGACTGAGAGATGCATGTTCCTCTTAGTCACGGCCCAGCAGAGGTTTCTTGTGAAACGTACATCATGGGTTGAACGTGCCAAAAGCATCTCTTTACTTGTCTATTCTTAGCTGACTTGCGAAGCGGACAACGAGCCCCTCTAGGCCGCCCCTCCCGAGAACTGCCCACGGCTGAGGGTCTGCAGGGGCTCCCGCAACAGTCCAGCTCGCAGATACTGAAGAGTTAGTTCCAAGAAGTGGCTGAGCTCAATCCTCAGATTCCTACTTTCACTCCAAACTGAAATTTCAGCTTCTCTTTCTTTTCTACAACCTGCCCATGTGTCAGAAAGGAACTACGGTCACCGGGCTGAGAATCTTCCCGGGCAGTTACCCCTGAGTTTTATGCCTCAGTACTTAACATAGTGGCCGGCAGTCCACACCTACTCAAGGAGTGGCGTATGACCTCTTCAGCACCAAGCATGCGTAACTCAATTTCAAAAATGCTTTTCTATCTTGATGCTCCATTAATTTCTAAGGGGGATGAATGATCCTTTAATAAACTATATAACACTTTATGCGTTACAACACATAAGGGGGTGGGGGAGAGAGAGAGAGAGAGAGAGAGAGAGAGAGAGAGAGAGAGATTACCGATGGTCTTTGATAAATCACTCTGGCATAGAAACTGCAACGGGTACCAAGATCACCAGTCTGAAAAGGCATTGAAAAAGATTTGTAACATCACACAAAGCACACAAATTAAAAAAAAAAAAATTGAAGGCCTTGCTAGAAATAAAGACATTACCTGGAGAATTTCTCGTAGGGAGCAAGGAGCTGGGGGCTGGTAAAGCTTAGAGACAGGGTCTTCAATGATATCAATCTGTCCCAGTGTGGGGTGAGCAGCAAGGACATAACAGAAGCGAGGAGGCAGAGGAGTGTTCGCCTGTTTGAAACAGGGCAGAAGAAGAACGTGAATGCATCGTTAAAGACTCAAATATGAAATGTAGTCTTTATACATTTTTATTCACAGGTGAATACTGTCTCTGAAAGGCTGATAAAAATATCTATATAATAAATAGATTATGTTGTTTATCTCTGGGACCAAGTATAAAAATTTGTACTTTTGAATTTATTACTGACTCAGATTTCATTTTAGAAATTTATTCTTCAAAGTATATTTAAAGCACAATTTAGAACATTCTCTCAAATAATCTAGAAATGAGCATTTTTTAAACTGAATGTATTGGGGTGACATTGGCAGACAAAATTATATAGGTTTTAGGCACACAATTCTATAACACATCATGTGTATATTGTGATGTGTGTTCACCACCCCAAGTCAAGTTTCCTTCCATGACCATTTATCCCCCCAAAACCCTCTTCTACCTCCCCTACCCTCCTTCCCTCTGGCAACCACCACACTGTTGTCTGTGTCTATGAGTTTTTGTTTTCTTAATCCCTTTACCTTTTTCACCCATCCCCGCACCCCCGCTGCCCTCTGACAGCTGTCAGCCTGTTCTCAATGAGTCTGTTTCTATCTTGTTTGTTAGTTTACTTTGTTCATTAGATTCCACACATGAGTGAAATCATACAGTATTGTCCTTCTCTGACTGGCTTATTTCACTTAGCATAATGCTCTCCAGGTCCATCCATGCTGTTACAAAGGGGAAGATTTCCTTCCTTTTTATAGCTGAGTAGTATTCCATTGTGTACATGTACCACCTTTTTTTTAAAATTGGAAATGGGAATTTTTGACAGCAATTTTGCTGGTCCAGCACAGTCCAGAGTCATATTCTTAGCACTTTGCTAAGAAGTCAGCTACCACACAAACAAGACCACCCCAGTTTTCAGCGTTGGGAACTACAGCCCAAAGCAGTACTGGCCAGCCTGGTGGAGAATGCTCAGGGTAGATAAAAGGGGACACATTTTAATCAGTCAATTTTTCTACCTGTGAGCAACTACCGTAAATAATATGATGAGGCAGGAAAATGGAAATTCCTGGCTAACTTGTTGGCTGTACGAATACCCATGGATTTTATTTATTGGGTTTTATGAGTTTCTGCTCTAATTTGTAAGGGAGTGTTGGTTCTACTGGTGACTGGAAGGAGAGGGGGGTGCTCTGTGTCTTGTTTAGCATGAGGCTAAGACCCTCACTTTGACCCTAATGGGATGACCCTAACAACTGTGGTTTAAAAACACCATCAAATTAACCTCAAGAAGAATATACTGAAGCGCAGAAGGAAAGCAACCGGAGCTTGGGCTTTGCAACGATGTGAGTGGGTCTGACTCTCTGTCCTGGCTCATGCTCACTGGCCCTGGGCCTTTCGGGGCTGTGGGCTGTGGAGGCAGCGCTTGGCGCAGCACCTGGCACAGAGCAGGTGGCGACCGAGGGGACTCCCTCAGATGCTGGGCTTACCTCTTCACAGGCCTGGCCGTGGCCAGGTGCTTTTAGAGGCACCACTGGAGGCCACAGAGTGTCAATCAAACTGAAGAGCCCTGCTGTCCTGGAAAAAGAAGAGACCTGTCAAAGGTGTTCATCACTAAGCATCACTTCCTAAGCACCTGGTCCAGGAGCTGGTCATACACAGATCTGCTTAGCAGACACCACCCCTAATGCCAAGGGCCCACCATTCAGGATAAGTGGCGATTCAGATGGAAAAGACAGTGGCACATAGAGACAAACAGACCTTCAACCTGACTGCACCAGAACAGGACAGAGACTGGTCATTAAATTATCACACATCTTACTCTCCAGTTTGGATGCCTTTGATTTCTTCTTGTCTGATCGCAATGGCTAGGACTTCCAGTACTATGCTGAACAAGAGTGGTAGAAGAGGGCCTCCCTGTTTTGTTCCTGTTCTTAGGGCAAATGATTTTAGCTTTTGCCAAGTGAGTATGATGTTGGCTGTAGGTGTGTCATATATGGCCTTTATTATGTTGAGGTCTGATCCCTCTATTCCCACTTTACTGAGGGTTTTTTACCAAAAAAGGGTGTTGAATTTTGTCCAATGCTTTTTCTGCATCAATTAATATGATCATGTGATTTTTGTCTTGCAATAGGTTTAGGTGATGCATTACATTTATTGGTTTACGAATAATTGTACCAGCCTTGCATCCCTGGAATAAATCCCAGCTGGTCATGGTGTATGATCTTTTTAACGTATTGCTGGACCTGATTTGCTAAAATTTTGTTGAGGATTTTAGTGTCTATGTTCATTGGCCTGTAGTTCTCTGTCTTTGTTGTGTCATTATCTGGTTTTGGAATTAAGGTAATGCTGGCCTCATAGAAAGATTTGGAAGTTTTCATTCCTCTTGAATTTTTTAGAATAGTTTGAGGAGAGTAAGTGTTAGTTCTTCTTTGAATATTTGGTAAAACTCCCCTGTGAATCCATCTGGACCAGGGCTTTTGTTTGCTGGGAGTTTTTTTATTTTATTTTATTACTGCTTCAATTTCATTAGTAGTGATCGGCCTATTCAGGTTTTCTGATACTTTTATTCGCAGATGACATGATACTGTACATAGAAAACCCTAAAGACTCCATAAAAAAACTACTAAATTTAATAAAGAATTTGGCAATGTAGCAGGATACAAAATTAGCACCCCCAAATCCATGGCATTTTTATGCACCAACAGTGAACTCTCTGATAGAGAAATTAAAAAAATTATCCCATTTACCACTGTAACAAAAAAATTAAGATACTTATAGGAATAAACTTAACCAAGGAGGTAAAAGACCTGTACTCTGAAAACTGCATGACATTGAAAAAAGAGATAGTTCAAGGTATAAAGTGAAAGAATATATCATGTTCATGGATTAGTAGAATCAACATCATTAAAATGTCCACATTACCCAAAGCAATCTACAGATTCAATGCAATTGCTATTAAAATACCAAGGGCATATTTCACAGACCTAAAACAAACACTCCAAAAGTTTATATGGAGCCAGAAAGACCCCAAATAGCTGCAGGAGTCTTGAGAAAGAAGAACAAAGTTGGAGGAATCACAATACCAGATATCAAGTTGTACTACAAAGCAATTGTGTTCAAAACAGCCAGGAACTGGCATAAGAACAGGCATATAGACCAATGGAACAGAATAGAGAACCCAGAAATCGAACCATACCACTATGCTCAGTTAATATTTGACAAAGAAGGCAAGGGTATACATTGGAGCAGAGACAGTCTGTTCAATAAAAGGTGTTGAGAAAATTGGACAGGCATATGTAAAAAAATGAAACTAGACCACCAAGTTATACCAAACACAAAAATAAACTAAAAATGAATAAAAGACTTAAATGTAAGATGTGAAACCATAAAAATCCTAGAAGAAACCATAGGCATTAAAATCTCAGACATCTCTTGTAGCAATATGTTTACCAATACATCTCCTAGGACAATGAAAACTAAGGAGAAAATAAACAAATGGGACTACATTAAAATAAAAAAGCTTCTGCACAGCAAAACAACCATCAACAAAATAACAAGAGAGCCCACGACATGGGAGAACATTTTGCTAATGATACATCATAAGGGGTTAATCTCCAAAATATATAGGGAACTCATAAAACTTAATAAAAGGAAGACAAGAAATCCAATTAAAATATGGGCAAAGGACCTAAATAGACACTTCTCTAAAGTGGACATACAAATGGCCAAGAGACATATGAAAACATGCTCAAAGTCACTAATCATTCGAGAGATGCAAATCAAAACAACAATGAGATATCATCTCACACCTGTCAGAATGGCTACCATCAACAAATCAACAAATGACAAGTGCTGGAGAGGATGTGGAGAAAAAGGAATACTTGTGCACTGCTGGTGGGAATGCAGAGTGGTGTAGCCACTGTGGAAACCAGTATGGAGTTTCCTCAAAATATTAAAAATGGAACTCCCATTTCACCCAGTGATCCCATTTCTAGGAATATATCCTAAGAAACCCGAAACACTCATCAGAAAGAATATATGAACCCCTATGTTCACAGCAGTGCAATTTACAATAGCTAAGATTTGCAAACAGCCTAAGTGCCCATCAGCAGATGAGTGGATAAAAAAACTGTGGTACATTTACACAATGGAATACTACACGACAATAAAAAGAAAGAACTCTTACCATTTGCAGCAGCATGGATGGACCTGGAGAGTATTATGCTGAGCAAAATAAGCCAGTCAGAGAAAGGTAAGTATCACATGATCTTACTCATAAGTGGAATTCAATGAACAACATAAACTGATGATCAAAAATAGATCCAGAGACATAGAAACATTGAACAGACTGTCAAACCTCAGAGGGAAGGCAGGGGAGGGTGGAGGCAGGGAAGAAACCAACCAATGAACTCATATGTGTACACGCATAACTCACAGACACAGAGAGTGGGGTGGTGAGGGCTGAGGGCGGGTGGGAGCGGGCTGGAAGAGGTTAATGGGGGGAAAAGGAGGACCTATGTAATACTTTCAACAATAAAGATTTTTAAAAATTATAATACATCGGCACAATGTAATATACAGCCATTGAAATGGTTATATAAAAAGTATTTAAGAATGGAAAGATGTTTATGTAGCCCTGGACCAGTTGGTTAGAGCATTGTCTCGAAAAGATAAGGTTGTGGGTTTAATCACTGGTCAGGGAACATACAAGAATCAAACAATAAATGCATGAATAAGTGTAACAACAAATCAATCTTTCTCTTTCCCTCTCCCTCCCTCCCTCTCTCTCCTTCATTCTCTCCCTCCCTCCCTTCTTTTCTCTCTAAAATCAATCAAAAAGTAAAAATTAAAAAAAAAGATGTTTATGTGTGTTCAAAATTACCCTAGAAATCTTAGAAAAGCACAAAATCCTCTTTTATAGGAAGGGACTGACATCCAGTTATAAACATAATAACAGCTACTTTATTACTTTATTATGGGCCAAGGACTGTTTTAAGCATATTACATGTATCATGTTTAAGTTTCACGATAACCATATTTGTGTAAATAAAAATTATAGCAAGTTAATTGACTTGCTCAAGGTTACACTTTCCAGCAACAAAAAGTAGTTTAAACTCAGAGAGATAAAAAGAAAGTATTTCTTCAGAGCCCTCCGCTGCCCATGGCAAGGTTGGCTCACTGTTCTGCAGTGTCCCCACCTTCCCTAGGAAGTGTCCATGCCATGAACATGCCACGCACACACCACGCCCTGGACAGCAGGAGCAACAGGCTGAAGCCAACTCCAGATCAAACCACCCCACCAGGACCTGGTGACACTTAAAGACTTTCTCAAGACAACATCATCCGTGTTACAGTGGCCTCTTGCTTGCTACTGGGGCACCGCAGCATCCTGGGGGGCCTGAAAGTGAGAACGGTGACGGGGAGTCCTGGGGAGCTGGGCTGCAGGGCAGCTGGGCACACCCTCCGGCCGGAGCCCTGGGTCTGCCCTGAAACGGTGGTGCTGGAAAGGGGGGGCTGGGAGGGGGTCTGCAGATATGCTTGGGGACAATGGTCTCATCCCCAAGGTGTTTCTCCATTAGGCAGAGGGGAGGTCTGGAGAGACAAAAAGTGAAACTAGAGAATCAAAGAAATCATAGAAAAGTTTAAAAGTAACTAAAGAAGAGAGAACAGCCAACAGGAATAGAATGAGTTATTATGTGACAGGGGGCAGGAACCTGCACTAATCTAACCCCTCTCTTGAAAGAAAGGCAAGAGTGTAAGTCACAGGGCACAGTTCACCTTTCTCATCAGGACTTTTATTTGGTAAAAGGTGAAAACGCTCAAAGAGAAGAAGGAAATATTAAGCCATTGCTACACATCTAGATGCAAAATGAATGCAGTGTAAAGGATTTACCACCTCACTTTCCCAGTCTTTTCTCCTCGGAGGGATGTCAAGTATCGTCAGGGTGACACAGTGCTTTCACCATTTCCTAGGCGCTTTATTCATGAGGTCAGCCTGCTGGGGTGGGGCCGGGGGAGGGCTAGCTCACAGCACTGTCTTGGAATCCACTCGGAACCGTGAGACGCGCACGTGTGGGACCGCATCCCTGCAGGACCACAGGCTAAGTCTGGGGGTTGAAGAGAAGGTCTGTGCTGGCCGTCTGATGTAGCTGCTGCCGACCTAGAATCCCCCAGTCAGCGTGCTCGGCTACCGTCGCTGTTGTTCTCACAAGGCCAGCCTCTTGAGAGCAGGCTCCATGGCTGCTCCATGGAGAGTCTGGCGCCTGTGGTGCTGAACCCCGGGAGGAAGGGTGCAGGGTGTGGCCTGTGCTCACAGGGCCACCCGACTCCTTCCCAGGCTCGCGCCTGCGCTTAGTGAAGGCCACACCACACTGGCACCTGTCAGACACAGCAGGTTGTCCCTCAATGTTTCCATTTGAGAATTTTTCACAAGCCTTGATTTTTCTTTTAGGAAACGCATGGCTTCTAACAAAATGTATTTCGCCTAATCTCACTTGTTCACTTAATTAATCTAGTATCAGGTATTATGCTACTAGGTGAAAATATGGTTAGACATAATTTAAGAAGAAAAAAGA